TTTCACGTAGCAATTCCGTTGACTGACTTGACAAGTTTTCAACAAGCTGGAACCCTTATTTTCAGCGCCAGATTGCTGTAACGGGCAATTAAGTCTATTAACTACTGTGGTTCTGCATTAAATAATATTTATCATTACCCCTCTAAATATAACATTTTACAACTATAGTTTCTTTTTAAAATATTTGTAGACTTTCTAGTTTATTTCTGACACTAATTCGCTCAAAAATCGTTATTTCTTGCAAGAATACATATTCTAGCCTTTTCCCGCTAAAAGCTTGCAATGCGATTGGCGTGTTATAATTACAATCCTTCCTTATTGGCTGAAAGATATCGATAAATCTGCATCGTGATTCGCTAAATCTCCATATCGCACGGAAATTTTTAGCCAATCAACGTTAGGAATTTCACTAATTAGTATTCTGTAGGGGTAACATGGGTTATAATGGTGTATTTGTTGATATTTGGGGATTTGTAGGAAATTACGAAAATATTCAAAATGGCGGAAAAACAAATCAAATTTAAAGGTCATTAAATATGGACCTTTAAAGTTTATTTGATGGTAAATTAAAAGCTGAAATTTCGAAGCGTAAAGAGAAAATGCTGCATTTATGGATAATATACTAAACTGGTAGGTATAAGCTTTTGAATATATATATTTGTGTTTACTTTTACAGTAGTTAATGGTTTTATTCCGTTTTGATGAGCAAATTGCTATTATCAAATTTTTGTTACAAGTCACCCATTCTTTCAAAGTTGTTATCTAATATAAATAGTTCACCACCATTTACTCTGCTCAATGGTAGTGCTTAGATTAGCTTGACTGTCAATACTTTGTTTCCAATTCATCCATTCTCTAAAATATTTCTCTCAAAGTCAGTTTAAACTGTTGAAATCTTAAAACACACAGTCTGTAGTTCATTCAGAAAGAACAACCGTCATCCATTTAATATGGTATTACAATGGCAGGGCTGCTGAGAGGTTTCCAGAGGCCAGGGGCAAAACTTTCCCGAGGGGCCTATTGTACATCCTTTCCATGACTTTCTGTGAGGCACATTGAGGCCCCTATGTTGTCATAGCACAATATATTATTCAAAATGTTTAGGAACGAACTTTCCCTAAGTCTCATGTTAAGTCAATATACAAGCAGTACATGTTTTATCAGTCTCATGTTAAGTCTTACTGTGGTCTATATATTGAACACAAAATACAATATATTATGCATACAGTATATTATGTCTCTAGCTCTGAAAGTAAAGGGGAAGATGATGAAGAGAGCATGCTAGAGAAGGAGGGGGGGGGGGGGGGGGG